TAACAACAAATTGTTACCATGTCGTAGTCTTGTAGACAATACATTCATTCTGAATTGTCAGTAAGTAATCATCACCCAAAATAGTTGACCTCATTAATAAAGAATAATTACAATTGGGACGCGAACAAACTGGATTTTCACACTAAATAGGTGCGCTTGTCACGGCTAAATTACTAACAGGCTACGATGAATTAGGGTTAGGTTAGGGTTAGGGTTCCGATGTCTTTCTTTAGGGTTGGGTTAGGGTTCATTAGTCCACCGATATCTATCATTAGGGTTGAGTTAGGGTTGGTTTATTTATACCCACATTATAGTATTTCTTATAGCGGCGAACTAGTGAACCCCTCTCTGTGATAATATTTCTAATTTGGCACACAAATCATCCCTTGTAACTAACGCATGCTTTTTTGTTAGGCAATTTCCTTTGTTCTGTTTGATGTTCACTCTTTGATCAGTTACTATTAATCTAAGTTCTGTCCGGACAAGATCCCATTCATAAGATCTGGTTGTTAGGTGTTTTATTAAAGGTTCTTCGATATGTTCATTGATAATTATTGGAAAGAAACCGAACCGGATTATTATTTAGGATATTTATCGTCAACTGTATAAATACGGTAAGCAGTTTGTGTGTTGCATTTATAAGTTAAAGTATAAAAAGAAATATTTGAAGGGGCTATTTAAGACATGATATTTTTAAGCCTTATACCTGTAACTGAAACGATTTAACGTGTTGATCTGTTTTGCAATGTGGGGAATGGGGAATCTGTAAAGTCAAATACGAAACTGAAATAAGTAAACAATCTTCCAGCTTCTATCCAATATGACTTTTAATTTTGGGGACATAAAGTACATGTATATATTGAACGTTGGGAGCCGAATCGTCATTTTAATTGAATTACCGTTAAAGGAGAAAATATTCCTTCCTCGCAATTTATGCTAATTCGTTTATTTCTACGAATATCGTTAAATTGTTGTTCATAATTAAAACGGATAATAAATCAGTATATAAAAAAAACAGCATATTTTAAAACATCCACGTGCAAATCGCTACCTTCTATATATGTTTATTGTCGTCCATTTTCAGACATTGTTATCAGAATTCACGAAACATGGTTTCATTGTCTGCTTGTCGGATCAACTAATGACATGCTATGTGTATGTGCTTTATGGTGTGATTCACGAATTAAATACTGATGTAGATTTACATTGTAAATGAATAGAACATAACGGACATTTTAGGATATGAATACAATAATACATTGGTACACTTTAGTTAATAATCAAAACGGAATTTGAAAAGAGTATTATGAATATATGAATTACCGGTGAACTAAAACGACTAATATACTCGTGATATCGTTCCATTAAATATTTGTTTCTTTCTAATAACGTTGTGGCAATATGGACTAAATTGCTCTGACTATTTCAAATCACTATGGACTATAATCCGCCGCGAATTTGATATTTCCACCGACTATAATCCGCCGCGAATTTCATATTTTCGCGGGCAATAATCCACCGCGATTTTTATATTTTCTAGAGGGACCATAAGCTAAAAACGAGATTTTTTGTTCAATCAAGGGCCATAATTCAGGAAGTTACGATCCGATATGAGCGAATATCGAAAGGAACCAACCTTGATTTACCAGATGTTTACACTATTTGCGTACTAGGGGCGGCCATTTTGTCCGACAGTTTTGGCCTGATTTTCACGAAATTCAAACTCACCAAATATTACGGTGTAACGGTGATATATTCAAACGTTTTTTTAAATCGAATAATAATTGTGACCTCTAGAGGAACCACAAGCTAAAAACGTGATTTTTCGTACAATCAGAGGCCATAATTCAGGAAGTTACAATTTGATATGTACGAAAATAAAGATAGGTTGCCAGGCAACGAAACATACGCCCACAGCAGCTAAATCGTCCGGGCAGTCAACAAGAGTTGTTACATATTTTTACTTTTTTCGGTAATGAAACATTTATAATACATTTAAATCTGATTAAGAGTAACAACTCATTAAGTAATTATCAGAAAACCATTAGAATTTGTTTGGTTTTTATAAAGTTTTGCCCCATGTTAACGTTTAGTATAGGAAACGTTTAACATCATGGATTTAGCTGTTTAAGTCATAAAAATTCATTGAAAATCATTATACTTGTTCGTCTCAAGACCTTAAACTCTGTGTATGAATCTGAAGTCAATCGGATGATAACTTTAGCTTCTAGAGGGTCACAAGATTTTTCAAGGTGATCAAGGGCCATAACTTTGGCAGTAATTATCGGAAATCGTTGAAAATCAATGATGCTTCGTCTCACGACTTCAAACACTCTGTATCAATTTAAAGTCAATTGGATATTAAAGATACATTATGGGCGATTTTTATAGAGAGTTGGCCATTCTTGCTATAACAGTTTAAAAGTAGATGATGAAAGAAGAATATATTGAAAATTTCAGTCAAATTACTTTATTCTGAACATAGTTATCATCGTTGTAATATTTGACTAAAAATGGTAGTGAAATGTGCCTTAACCTTGGCCGATCGTTTGATTGACAGGCATTAACTCCAACTACATATCACGATTATCAAGTAAAGTTTTCATTGGCATGCGGAAACGCTCTACAGCGGCCTCACTAAGTACACTCTATCATTTAGCCTCGATCTAACTGACGTATTCTCATCAGGGTGCACCATATTTGATTTAATCAATAAGTGAAATCCTATTTAAATCCGAGCTGTAGCCGAGCCATCCGTGGGTCTACAGAGTTGATTTTGGGCTTGTTGTTTAAATAAAGATCTAATTTATAATTTCTATAACATCTGAAGCCTAAATTAAGACTTGCAATAATTAGATTTAGCTCTTGCATAATGTATGTTTAACTTTAGCCTCTAGAGCCTTTACAAGATTTTTTTGAAGTGATCAAGGGCCATAACTCTGGCAGTAATTATCAAAAATCGCTGAAAATAAATAAACTTCTTTGTCTCATGTCCTTAAACACTGTGTATAAATTTAAAGTCAATCGGATATTAACTTTGGCCTCTAGAGTGCCCACAAGATTTTTCAATGTGATCAAGGGCCATAACTCTGGCAGTAATTATCAAAAATTGCTGAAAATGAATAGACTTCTTCGTCTCATGACCTTAAACACTGTGTATAAATTTAAAGTCAATCAGATATTAACTTTAGCCTCTAGAGTGTTCACAAGATTTTTCAAAGTAATCAAGGGCCATAACTCTGGCAGTAATTATCGGAAATCGCTGAAGATCAATAGGCTTCTTCATCTCATGACCTTAAACACTGTGTATAAATTTAAAATCCATCAGATATTAACTTTGACCTCTAGAGCGTCCACAAGATTTTTTGAAGTGATCACGGGCCATAACTCTGGAAGTAATTATCGGAAATCGCTGAAAATCAATAGGCTTCTTCGTCTCATTACCTTAAACACTGTGTATAAATTTAAAGTCAATCGGATATTAACTTTGACCTCTAGAGCGTCCACAAGATTTTTTGAAGCGATCAAGGGCCATAACTCTGGCAGTAATTATCGGAAATCAATAGGTTTTTTCGTCTCATGACCTTAAACACGGTGTATAAATTTAAAGTCAATCGGATAATAACTTTAGCCGGACGGACGGGGGCGACGACAATATACGACCACATTTCAATGTGGGCATATAAAAAGGAAAATAGAAAGGAACCAAGATATTTGGGTTATAAACATGCATTTCAAGTTTCATCAAAATCAGATGAAAATTGTGACCTCCAGAGTGTCCACAACCCAATCTGATTAAAATACATATCTATATTTCGTTTCGTTTTTTTATACTTTCGATGGCCTACACTACATGAAGATCTGACAAGTTATAGCTATAGGTCAGGTCAGGGATCAGAAGACCGACTTTTGACCTATGACGTCAGACATTTGATTAACCAATCAGCGTTGATGTTACTAGTGGATTACCCACAGTTCCGGGCAAAAAAGGTCAAACACTCGATTCGGCAGACCATTTGATTGGCTGACCCCTCATTTCAAGCATAACACGAGTTAAATAACAAGTCTTCCAGATCCAAGTGTAGTAAAGACAAGTAATATAATTGCCACGATAAGACGGGCCTGGCACATAAACACTAAACCCACAAAGATGCCATCTACCAATCCAGAAACGAGACGTATATATGTCCGCATATATGCTGTCTCCACAGATCAACTACCAAACAATACGTATTTTATTAAATAATGGGACGAACATCCAACTAAACCTACTCCATGGCCTAAGTACGCAAATGGAAAGATTGCAAAATCGTATTCTAAAAACAGGAAGAAGCCTCGGCTACCAAACAATACATATTTTATTAAATAAAGGGACAAACATCCAACTAAACCTACTCCCATGGCTTAAGTACGCAAATGGAAAGATTGCAAAATCGTATTCTAAAAACAGGAAGAAGCCTCGGCTACCAAACAATACATATTTTATTAAATAAAGGGACAAACATCCAACTAAACCTACTCCATGGCCTAAGTACGCAAATGGAAAGATTGCAAAATCGTATTCTAAAAACAGGAAGAAGCCTCGACTCTCCTATGTCTTGACTGCGATATCACTTTTGTGGAAGCAGACGCTGTAGCACCAGGTAGTAGTAGTAGTGTTACTGTACTTGCTTGAAAATGTTGAAAGAATACTCTTTGAAACGTCGCCTAAATAAATCAGTAATTATTCTTCCGTAAGTAAGTATATATTTTTCTGAAGACAGTATTTTTGACAGACTTTATATCGAAAAAATGAAATATCCCCAGCTCTACAAACTAACTTTTTTTTTCATTTTTTTTTATGAGGAATAAGAATAAAAAAACACAACAAAGCTAACAATTACACAGTTGGATACATCAAGATGTAGAAACAAGACCATCACTTGTAACATAGGGTAGTGAGCATTAATTAATGATAAAAGCACTAGTAACCATACATTTAAAGCATACTTTTTTTTTACCTGTGGAAAACTGCCCATCCTTGACATTAAAAACTTGAACGTGTAGGTCACTGGTAGTCAGTATTGCCTCATACTGGAATTCCCCACCACTTGTGGTGCTGTTCGATACTGCAGATTTGTACGTTTTTTCGGTAATGCATTTATAGGCTTTGTTAGAAGACATCAAATCAATGCCTTGGATATACAGAGCTAGTAAACCTGAAACAGACATGTTTAAAAGATTTGATATTAAAAAGTAAAATAGGAATTGTAAAACTGATATTAAACCTTTTTTTTGTTGATAAACTAGCACTAATTGTTTTCTTAATTTGGCTGTAAAGAGATCTCATTAACTACTCAAGTTTACGGCTTTCCAAATGTATAATTACCTCGGACATGATTTACCGATTTTTGATGTATTTGTCAATAGCGGAATTACTATTTTGAATGGATAATGGATAATAATACTACGACCACGGTAAGGCGAGCATCTATGGGTGTGCTTTTTTTTATATTTACCATTTTTATTCGCAATTCATATGCAAATAATTGTAATCAAAATGAACCGATCGGATAAATGGCTCGCGGGAAAATAAACGATTCATCTAATAGTTAAACATAGTAGATAAATTAACAGGTGTTGATTTTTAAACGCCTCTCGGGAAATTGGACTGCTCGTCTAATAAATAAACGCATTAGATAAGTCAACGCTTCGGCCATTTCTAAACCCCTCTCGGAGAAATTCAATGGTGTACCATTAAATTAAACTATAGTACTAATTAAAAAATTTCTGTAATTTCCAAACGATTTTTATTGATATCAAACGATGTTTTGAAATTAAACTATATGCATAGTTTTTAGCGCTAAAAACCCCTTATTAAATGATACAAGGGTTACAGTGAAATGAGTTGTGTCCATGTTATTGCACAGACAACCCTGATACAACGCATATTTTCTGTTTGTCAAAGCCATTTGTTTACACGCTGAGTTCCGGTACAAAAGGTAGTGCGTTGACCTCATGACCTGTGACGTTTAGATAACGTCATTTGGATATCATGGCTATTCACTGTGTCAGAGTCACTTCTCTCCAGGTAGGGTGAGTCTGTTCAGATTGCTACATTATGTGGTCAAAGATAATGCGATTATTTTGACTGAAAGAATTGTTTTGTTTTTACTTCACTTTAGAATTTTCATTATTCATTCAAATCCGTATGACTCTTCTTCCTTTTTATTTTGTACATTTTCATCAATGTGAATATCAAATCAACCAGGTTTTAAGGCCTTACGTTTGTCGGTAATTTCAATTTGTTTAACTGGCCAATAAATATAGAGCCCCTATAATTAGGTGCAAAATATATTTACTAAAAAAACAGAATTAAAATTATAATATTTAGTATGACAACTATAATGCTAAATTATTTAATAAAATGTTTTGCGACAATTGGGTTACGTAGCGACATGACTGACCTAATTCTATGTCAGTTCCATTATCTCAACCTCAAACAAAAAATCCAGAATCTGAGCCATTTTTATACGTCGCCCCTGTCTGTGTGTCTCTGTGTGTCTCTGTGTGTGTGGGTGTGTGTGTGGGTGTGTATGTATGTATGTATGCATGTGGGCGTTTGTGGATGGTCCTTATCAAGGACACACATAAGGATTTAAACCATGGCCCGAACCAAGGACGTCCTCGATTAGAACTGGCTATCCAGACATGCTCAGAAGCCCCCAAATAGATATATCTGTAAAAATCACTTGATTATAATTCATACCTCGATAAAGCGGTTCTGTACCGTCGGGGTGTATCGGTGTGTTTAGCATTTTTTATCAAGAAAAATTGTCGTGTGTATCGGCTAAATTTAAGATGTCCTCGTTTATGCCAATTAATACAAGGTCCTAGGTTAATGGTTACACAACACACACATAAATGGTCACGTGACGGTCAATTCTCAGAGTGACGAACGTCACTTTGAATAGTAAATGATAAGGAATACTATATGATAACAAATATATTTGTGGTACATGGTGTCTTACAATTAGGAACAGATAAATACACAGTATTTCAACAAGGAAATATCATCATGCTCAAGAAATCTGAAATTATTGTTCTCAACGCTAAACTATTTACTTTTTAAAAGACAAGAGTACCATCCTTCCAGAGGGAGGGAGATGGTAATATTGTTGCTCAAAATTTCAGCTATTATTTCTTTGATTTAAACGGTAAGATTCATCATGGCCTTTTCTCTATTAACACACAGGGGTTTGATGACAGTAGGTCCATTCCACCAATTCAATTTGATTCCTTTAATCAAGTTTCATTTGAGGAGATAAAGAAGATAACCTGTCAATCCAAACCAACATCATGTTCTTTTTTGGACATCATATCGACACATTTCCTGCTAAAAATTCTGAATGCAATTTTGCCCATTATTACTAACAACATAAACACGAGTTTGCAGCCTGGAATAATACCGGGATGTATTAAAACTGCAGTAGTCAAACCACTTATAAAAAAAGTCGACACTTGACCTACAATTACTGAAAAATTATTGACCAGTATCAAATCTGACCTTTCTGTCCAAAGTTCTAGAGAAAGTTGTTAAGAGCGTGTCCACGAGAGCACCATGCAGAAATTGAAAAAAATGATAACCCGGGGGGTCAGCAAATTTCAACCATACTTGGACTATGGGGACCCCTAGGCGACAGAAGTCACATGATGAAGTGAAAAAATTTTGAACGGAGAACTTCCGGTATAACTGGAAATTGTTGTTTTGGGGCAAAAGTTGACATATTTCGACCAATTTGTTACCCTAATTTCAAAACGCTCCTACCTGAAATGTTGTGTCTCTAAATTTTTGATATTGGTCAGGTATGATAGGCCTAGTAGTCGTCTTAAAATCCTGCAGTCGTTTGGGAATGAATGAATCGTGTGGAATTTTCTGTGAGTAATCATAAAGTGGTCATTTTACATATGTTTAAAACTATGCTATCCTAAAACGCATGTAGCTGCTTCTTTGCAGGTCTGACATAGAATTGCTTGGTGTGGTTGTGAAGGGCATTTCTCAAAGTAAATGTCAAAAGAAAAAAACTGACCGGAACGCAACCCACTAGAGTACTGTAATATTCTGAAAATGTGTAAAAACGGTATTTTCCACGAAATTCGTCTTTTAACTGATGACCGACTACTATTTTTAAGAGTTAAAATGACCGTTGATTATGAACATTAGTACTATTTTTTGTTACTTGAACGTTCCTTGTGCCAAATATACTATCTTGGTTAAAAATCATTAAGTTTTTGTGACAAAATCGGACGTTCGCGGTCATCGTAGTAAAGGGGCTTAACTGGTGTATAATTTTGCAGGATCAGGCAACGATTATTCTCATCTGTATTCAGTAGTTAGTAGCACGGAAGTGCATAAATGTAAGGACTGGCATAGCAAGCTTTTATATTAGCACAATTTAACCAAAGCAGCACCTTTTCAGCAATGACCAACGATTATCTTCAAATGACTACTGATCATCACCATTACTTGTAATATTTCATAATTTCAACGTGAATCGTGTCAAATAGATCATTTTGTTTAAAATCATAATATTTTTGTAACAAAATCTGACTTTCACGCTTGCTTGATAGCCATAGGGAAGAGTCATAAGTGGTGTGTAATTTTGCAGGGATCAGACCACTGTTATTAAGATTTGTATTCATGAGCAGATCATCGTATAAATTTGACTGACATGACTATCATAAACTTGATATCTTTTAATTTGAACACCTGCTCATGTAAAGAAGAACCATAAGAAGAAACATTCAGAAGTGTTCATGTAGGGACATTTAATATCTGGTATTGAAATCTCTGAATCATGGCATAGATCACAACAGGATTTATGGCACTCCAGGATAATGTTGACCGCATGTGCCAAACTCCTACATATACCTACGTTCGAGCAGAAGTGCTCACTTACTTAGATTCCTACGTTCGAGTGTAAATTCTCTCTGACCTTCCTTCAAGGTTTTTGGACCACAGAGTACTGTTTTATTTTGTAGTACTGTTTTTGACCTCTTCTCCTTCAGGGATTTCAATATGGAATTATCATAGCCTCCCGATCTGTAATGCCTCTCCATGAAAACGTTTAAATGTTTCTATACAATGATCAGCTCCTAAATACAGATAGGAATAAGCTGGTCTGATTCCTAAAATATGTTTGACCAAAATAACCTTTTTGGCACAAGGAACATTGGTAGAAAAGGTGTTGTATAGTCGTCTTGCTGATTGTGTTACTACGACTTACTGTCACTGGATCATCTACAATCCCCTCGTCCTTAAAACCTGTTACAAGAGCGAACATGTACATCCCTCCGAAACACTTCTTTTACCCAAGAGCTAAAATATGCTTACACTGAATCGTGTATCATATTTCACCTTTCATTATATCATATTTATAGAAGCTATTTGTTCTGTTTAAATTGCATTGGACATTCATGAAACTTGTCCCTGGTCTAACACATAGACTTTAGATCCTAAGGTCTGTCATTGAGTTAAGTGGTGTGACAGCATGCCGGTGACATGGTGTGGTGTTGTTTGTCCAACCTCATGGATATTCTCTTTTCCCACAAGTGTATTATTGAAGTAAAATTGTACCATATGTTAGTCCCAAAATGACCTAGTTTGTGTTGAGTGGACCTTAAACCCCATTTCTCTCTCTTAAGTCAAAATCACCCTTACTAACAAATATATTAACTTTGTGATGATGTCCATAGATACAGTATGCATCACCATAATATGCTAGTCCCAAAATGACCTAGTTTGTGTCCAGTGGACTTTAAATCTCATTTTACTTTGTTCCTCTCATGTCTAAATCATCCTTGCTAACGACTAAATGGAATATATTAAATTTGTAAAGATGTCCATACATAAACTTCATCTGGGGTATTGATAGACGGGACATTTTATCCTAATTTTTGTTGTTTTTAATATATTTCTCCTGTTTTTATTATGACTGTTCCGGTCATTTTTATTTTTTATTTTGTTAGCAGGAAGGTTGCTAGTTGTGGGTAATATTCAACTTTGGTCCTAGTCCCTGCAAAGAACGAGCTATAGCCTCTTAAACATTGGTTTTCATTAAATTCAATTTTCAGAGAGAGTTGGGTATCCGGCCAGTACCAAGGTATAATTAGCAGTAGAAACTTCAAACTCAGTGTGAAGGAGGAACCTGAGTGGTCC